AGAAAGAAGGCATATTTTTCATTTCCCATTTTTAAAGAATTTCATTTTTACATTTTTAAAAAAATTTACTTACCGCCCATGTTACAGCATCGTAACTTCTAAATGCTGCTATTAAACCATCTTCGACATAATTATTTATTACATCTGCAAGATGAGAGTGTCGAAAAATAGTTCTTAAAATATTTAGAGCATGTGTTTTGATTTCTGTAACTTGAGCAATATTTTCATTTGTAGAATAATCATGATTATACTTCAGTGCTATAGTCGAATTCCCATAATGTGTAAAGATAGAGTTTGAGTATATTAACTGTAGTATTTGTTTCCGTAAATTATCACTTTCTAATTGCGTAAGTCCTAATAGAATTTTCATCACTAAATCAAAGATTGTAGTCTTTGTATCTTTGTATTGGCGAGGTTCTGTAGATAGTAAAGCCTGTTGAGTGAAATTCGTATGATTTATTTTAAATATAATATTGTGAAAAGTAAATTAAAACTGATACATTTAATCTACTTTACCTGTACCATAAATGGTACACCAGCACTTCTTCTAGTTGCACACAGTTTTGAGTTCTCTTTAATTCCCGTGATGGAAATCAAGATCCGATACAACCATAATGTAGGCAATTGATTCAGATCTGCTTTATTCGAACGCCATAGTCGATGACACAATTGACTGAATCCTACATGCGCTTGTTCAAATGCTCCTCTATGTTTTGTTTCAGTAAGCAATGAAACAAAGTGCTCTCCTATTTTGATAATCTGTTAAAAATTTGTTTTCATTTATTTCTTTCTAAAGAAGTAACTTTTTAATACAAACTGTGAAATTTTACTTGCTCTTTATTTAACAGTTCTGTGGAAGCACTGTCTTCACATATAGGTGCTTTAGTAGAAAGCAAACCAAACAATAAGCTAACTTCCTTTATAGTACGCCAAGAACAAAGCAACACCATTTGTGGTGTTACTATTTGTTTATCAGGTACAGAATTGCAAATTTCATTAATAGCTAGTAAATTTAAATCCATTGGTAAATGTCCTTCGGGTGAAGAATTATTTACTATTAAAGAAACAGCATGGCTGAATTCAAAAGACATAGACACTAATTCTGCTATAGTTTTCTGCCACAAATATTCTTTCCCAGCATTTTTCAAGTTACACTCATGTAACAAACTTCTGATACAGAAAAGATAACCGTACAAAGAATGTTTAATAACAGTTTTCACAATATTCTCTTTTGCTAGAATCAAAGAATCCTGTAAAAATAATTTATGTATTTATTCTTAAAATAAAGTAATATTTCACATAAATAGATCCAAATTTTTTTACCTTCAATTTTTTTAATAAAATTAGTATCAGTTGCAATATTGTTGCTTCTTTTATATCTTCAAATTGTGTCATTAAATCTAAGTGTGTTTCAAGTACTTTATGTATAACAGGTGACAGCATACTAACTTTAAGCATATATGCAGCTGTAATAGTATCAATGGGTCTTATGCTGTTACCTAATTCAATAGCAACCATGATCATATCATTAACGCAACTTTCATTATTTAACTGTAACAAATTTGGATCTACCGATTTTATTAGATTAAAAGCCATTAATTTATTTCCTTCATATGTATCTATTAGCATTAAGTTAAATATTGCTTCCAACTGTTCAGCTTTCCAAGTAATTTGTTTAAATTCATCATCTAACAAATCTCTCATTAAGAGTAATATCTGTAGAGAGCATCGTCTTCTATTATAAGTTGCATCAGGACTACATATACACATACATCGTAGTGATTGAAATTTATCACAATACATATTTATATTACTTTCTAAATTGCAAGATATTCTATGTGATTCATCTAGCACTTCTTGCTTTATCTCTGACGAAGTATAGTGTTTTATATAATAATTTTTCATTTTTTTCTCTTGTGCATACTGTCGCCTCATGACAGCCAAACTGTCTTTCATTCGCTTTAAAACCTACAAAAAAATAACATTATGACTTACAGGAAGACTAGATTTCTATTATAATGATCTTACCTTCTTTATCAAAGGCACAAACTCTATGTTTTCTTTAAAATTAACATGTAGAAATAAGATGACTGTATCGAGCTCTTTAGACATAAATTTTAAAGTGCTCTTTCTAGATTCTGCTACGAGGGCAAGTGTATTGAGTTTTATCTGAAATGAAAGTTAACATCACATAATAGAAGAGTGACATTTTTTTCAAACCTGTACCTCCTCGTCGTAATGATGAACATAATGTTCCAAATCATCGTACGTGATAGAATTTCTCCAATATTTGTTATTCGAGTTAGAAAGATTCTCCACAGTGTCTAATTCACCACTACGTTTCAATAATAACAAATCTTTTAATTGTTTCTTTATTTCTTCTGGCGTGAACATGTTGTTTAACGTTTCTATGTTAAAACCTAGCAAAACACGTATGTTTGAGCATAATATTGATACAACTTCGAATATTGTTCGTAAGAAATTAAATACTTTTCGAGCAAGGGCTTTATCTATTAAGATCTATTAAGTTGAATTCTCAAATATTTATATATATAATTTCGCAGATATTTTTATGGGACATAGAAAGAAAATTGAGGGTCTAATTAATTACGATGCAATTAAAAATATTCCTCAATTAATCCTCTTAATTAGCTTTTTATAAACGAAAATTCATTCGAGTCAACGACATACAAATACTAGCGTCACGTAGCAATAAGGAGATGGAACTAATCGCAGCATGTCAATATTGTAAAATAGAATAATTAATTTTATGTTTCTAGAGGATTAATTTGGATTTGATACGCATGTATAAAAGTTATTTGATTTGTTTTTCGAATCTAGTTTGGAAAAAGTTAAATATTATTTCAGGCAGGGTTTCCATCTATATTGATCAAAACATGAAAATTTTTATTTATAATTTTCGTATGTCAAAAGAATTATAGAAAGAAAATTGAGACTCTAAAATATACGAAGCAATTTCAAAAGTTTATAAATAGTATTTTCTTTAAAATAAAAAAATATTAGAAATGTTAATACGTGGACATTTTTTCAAATTAGTACCAGTGACTTGCCGTCAGATGGCGCCACCTTTACAAAATAGGGCATTAACTATATAAATTAGTTATTTATGTCGAAAATTTAAATAGTCTTACATGGAAAAAATTTTTAGAAATTATGCATTATTTGACTCCTTCAGCAGCTCAACTGTATCTTCTATAAATTAAAAAATTTGGTTTTCTGATTTCACTGTAAAAAAATTAGTTCCAGTATTTCACTGCTACGGTGCGCTAGCGTTTCAATGTCCATAAATTGAACAAACTTTCACTTGTAAAAAAAACTAATTTAGAGGATTAATTTGTGAACTTTTGTAATTGAAGCTCTTTAATTAAGGATTCAGCTTATATTCTATACCCGATTTAAGTTGCAAAATGCAAAAATAAATAGTTTTAAAATTTGTTTAGTACCAGTGGCTGCTGTTAAATGACGCCACCAGTGTTAAACAGAATTCTTTATACAAATTTTGAAAAAAAGAACGGATTAAGAGGATTAATTGAGAAATTTTTGTGATTGTATAGGAGTTATTAGTTCTTCCACTTTTTTATGTCTCATCTGACCCATAAAATTATAAATATATAAATATTTAAAAATTGCACTCAATAAGTCAAATTCCATTTAATATCATTACTGGAAATTTGGATCAAAATTGTTTATAAAGATATACAGGTACACAAAATAAGTTTTACATAGTTTTGGGCGATAGTAATTATTTATATCTCCTTTTCATCAGTGCTTGTTAGTTTTCCTTTTTTTTGTAGTTACATAATATCATAAAAAATATTTTGATAAAATGCTTGGATTTTCCAGTAAATTACTCGAATCCTATTGGTATTACTTCGTACATATTCCCCATCCCCCTTTCCCCCTCCAATCTATTAGTGACGCGACCTGTTGCGCAAAAGATTAGTCTATTGTCTAAAATCATGTCGTTAGAATGTATTCATTCGTGTGACATTTATTTAGTGCACAATATTGTCGTTATCTTTTCATCGGTTGTTTCACACCATCGTCAACTTCGTTTTCAGTTTTTCTTCAGTAGTTTAGTATATTTTATATTTTATATACATTTATTGTAATTTGATTGTATTTTTAATTGTTACATTTACCAGTAGTATGACTTCTCAAGACAGCACTTAACCTTAATTATTATTTTATTTATACAAAGTCTGTTCCTTTTATATATTATTTACAGATTTTAATCTTTTTTGTATAGATTATTGGTTAGTTGTTAAACAATTTTCGAAGCATTAAAGAGACGCCACGAAATTCAAAAGAACGTCACGTGATCGACAACAACAGACATAGCATGTCATCACGGTAATGTTTGATTTATTTTATTAAAAGATTGTTTCGTCTCGATTATTGGATAATTGATGGTATTTATTTCGCATTCGTCGTTCTAATTAAACATACATCGTTAATAATTGAAAATAAACTTTGTACGCATCGTGTTGTATAAAATTATTTAATCGCCGAAAGCGCGCCATGTTTGATTTGCAGGAATTAGACTTGAATCTTTAATGGCGGGTATTATGTGGCGTATTATGATGCAATTTTGCAAGAGATAAAGTGAGTTGATCGTGATCGCGATTGTAATTTTATTAGTTAGAAGATTTATTATTCATCACAGATCAGTGATGAATAATTATTTAGTGTTAAAATTTTTTAAAATTATAAAGAGTTTTATTGTGAATAAAATCATATGATCCCTATATTTTGGGACATGAAAAAGCATTTTATGTCAAGTTTATTCTGTCCGAGTTTTGAATCATGTGATACGTTCATCATGTAGCTCATTTGCGGTATTACGATTTCAATATTCAGCATGAATAATTTGAAAATGTGCACGAGGTACAGGTACAGGCACAGACGAGGTCAAAATAATTTAGAATTCGTTATACGAGTTAATAAAATGATAATATGAATGACTTAATAATATACTTTAACATTGCATAGACCTTTAAGAATTTCTTCTGAAGTTTAGAAATCTGAATTAATATACTTAATATAGTAAATTCTAGAAGATAATCACATATGTATATTACATAAATACATATGCTTGTACTTTTATTATGTTTATTATATTTATTATCGTTTGTTGATTCTCTAATTTTGCACTGTGTAATTTTTAACAATTCTAATACTAAATTCAATAGTTTGTTAAAAATGTTCGTTTTTAATAGTTAAAATAATAATTTCACTGCATGATGTAATAAAGCTTTTCGTTTCTTAGATAAAGTAAGAGCCTTGAAGCTCCAGATCAAAACAACACGAATACAAACACCTGTGTTTATGTAGGGTCGCAGACTCCCGGCCACTTTCGACTTTGTCTCGAAACGTGTCGAGGGTATCATTTATCCACAGAATTTCGTGACAGTAACAACATAATACGTCGCATTAGATTCGTAACTTTTCCTAACCTATTGATAGCGTCTCTTCGATGGCGTCGCTTCTTCGATAATCTTTTAGTTTCATTTGTACTTGATTAATAATATTATTTAATTAATACGCATGTGTTTACGATTTATACAAAATTTAGGTAACGAAATCGAGTAATACCTTGAAATTTTTCGTGTCGATTTTTCTTTCACTCGTACGATAGCTTGTCTCGTAAGATCTTTTCAATAGAATTTGAAGTTGTTTATCGTTTTATTTTTACATATTTGCCTTCATTTTGACACACTTTGAATTTTGATTTCTTTTTGTGCAGGTTATTTCTTGATCACTAAGATAGCACGGAACACATGGACGCCACGTGTCGATTTTTATGATCAGGTGAATTTTCACGGAAATTTGATAACGTTTTCTTTATTTTGAGTATACAATTTATATATATATATATCTGAGATACAATACGTAATCTCGTAATTATTCGGAATACAAGGGTGACAATGGAAAAGATTAAACCAATTAATGTTTTATTTTGAATATAGAGATAGTAGCTTAATGATATATACTTCAAATAGATATATATATATATATATATAGTCTTGTATTAGAATAATAATATACTTGCTTTTCGAATGCTGACGCGTAATTAAATGATTCAAAGCAAGATTTCAAACGAGGTGTTCATGGTATTATTTCTTAAATATTTAGCTGTGAAGTTGGTGTAAACATTTTCGAATATTTATA